TAATGAAAAAGAACGAAGTTATGGCACAAGTAGGAATTTGCTGTGGATATGGTCCACAGGCCCTAAGTGTTATCTGTCTAGGAAGGTGGTATGTATAGAGTGAAGGAATGAGACAGGCTTTCCTGAGGATTAAATTACTTCTAAGCACCTAATTTTAGATCTGAAGAGGACTTTCATCATCATGTACTCAAAACCATCATAATAATAATTACCGATAACTATGTCCTATGAACTCTGCAAGATATTTTTGCATGCATTATCCCATTTCATCCTCCTAATAATGCTTTGAGATATATAATCATATTATTCTCATTTTGTAGCTATTGGTTTTTTATTTTTTGTGTGTTTCTTTTTTTTTTTTTTTTTTGGTTATAATCTGAATAAGGCCCCATTTGAAAATAGTTGGAGCTTAGTATTTGCTTTTTTAAATAAAGCAGAGAAATCTAAATACCAATGTTGACTCTAAAGCTATTTCTCCGTTTTCTCACTTCATATTAAAGGAAATAATGGGTTCCAAAGGAAATGTTGATTGGAGTTAATTAAATAATTGCATCCAAAAAATTTAGTTTATTAATGTACCAGTGCAGGAGAGGTTTTTCTACCACACAGGCTGGTGAAAATTCAGAGGCACTCATTGAAGCAAAGTTGCACTGACCTGGGAGAAGATAAGAAGTGGACAAAATCTATGTACAAGATTAGCTTTGTAACAAATGTTGAATCAGACTTAAGAGCCATCAAATGGCTCCTGTCCAGGAGCCCATTTTCTCCTCATGGACTGGGTTTTGAAGGGAGACACAAGTAACATTTGTTGACCTCCTCCTGTGAGGCAGGCATGGGGCTTGGTCCTCTCGACATTGCATCTCATTTAATCCCCAGGGGAAATAGGTATGATTGATTCCATCTTACAGAGGAGGAACAGAGAGCTTAAGTAACTCGCTCAAGGTCACACAGGCAGGAAATGTCGGCGGAGCTGCGAATCCAGGTTTTACACCCACCAGAGCCCAAGGTCTTGAAATGTGGTGGGAGAGTAGTATGTCCGTTTTCCCAGCTGCATGATGGGAACCATGGAAAAGTCCACATGTGTAACCAGTGAAGGGAAATGTAGGCTGTAGATGGAGACTTGTTTTATTCTCTGAGATGGCCAACAGCTGAGAACAAAGAGTTTAACCTGAAGAAAATTAGTTGAGTAGGCTGTATAACTAAACCTGTTTTCATTCTCCAAATGTTTTCTCTCATTGCTCCGGACCCATGTTGAAGGCAACCTTTTGTAAGATTTACTGAGCTGATATCTGGGCTCTGGGCTTTTTCCTCAAAGGAGTTAGATGTAAACCTCTTATTTGGTTCTGCCCTAGCATGAGGAAGATGTCCTGGTGGATCTGTTTTTCTGTCTCAAGGAAAGGTTACAAATTAAACTATTTCAATGTGATGTGAATCTGAAACACTCTCCTTGAGGTGAGAGAAAACAGAGAGAACAATTGCCTATCACTCTGATTGGGGAACAGAGGAAGAGAAAATATGTAGTTATCCCATTTCAGCAAAAGGTAATGGAATGGATTTGGTTCACCTGAAAATAACAAGCGCCCCTCATGTCGACTCTCTTTCTTCCCTTCCATCCAAGTTAGGTTTGTAAATTCTGAAAAATCTCCCGGGAGGCAGATAACAACAACTTCCTCTTAGTAACCCTCTAAGCCCATCTTAGCACTTAATAATCCTTATGTAAGGACATTCTCCCTCCAGAGCAAACCTAAATCATTATGCGGCATGTTAATTCCATTCCCTCTCTTTTCTCCAGTGAGGAGAAAGAACAGCTGTTTACCATCTTTCCGAGAGTAGAATTGAACACACTGAACAGAGAGGCACCAAATCACCCTCAGGCTTCCATCACGTAGGCAAAATAGCATTGCTATGTCGGTAGTTCTCCAAGTGGTTCCCTGACCAGTGGCAACAGCATCTCCGGGAACATGTTAGACATGCAGATTCTCGGCCCCCCTGCTTAATCAGAGGCTCTGAGGGTGGGTCCACCAGCAATTGGTGTTTTAACAAAACTTCCAGGGGATTTTCATGCTCCCTGGAGTTTGAGAACTGCTGATAGGGTAGCCATGTGGACAGATGTGGGTGATTATTAATAGTCTTTATCATTCATGTTTTTGTAAAGTTTGTGTGTATGTCTGTACGTAACCATGCATATATTTGGTGTATTTATTTATGTGAAACTTACTGGCAGGCAGTAGTACACAGATTTCTGTGGAATTGAAATCTAACAGATGTAAATGAAGATACCCTCTGTCTAGGCACAAACGTTTAGAAGTGATAGTTTGGCTGCACCTATCTGGGTTTATGTAATGAAGCCCTACCTGGGTTTCAACTTCTGAAAATATAGGTGGAACATAGAAAATAATGAGAAAGGAAAGCCCGCTAAACAGATAACCATTATTCACTTCTTTGTGTTCTCTCTCAGACTTTTATTTTTTGTGCGAAACATGTGTTTTCCCAAATGGGGTCATACTATGCCTATGGTCTTCTCACCTGCATTTTTAAGAAGAATATGGCACGAATGCCAAAAGGACGACACACACACACACACACACGTGCACACACACACAATCATTTTTAATAATTATATGGCCAGTTGCCTATTGATGAACTGTTAGGTTATTTTCAGTTTTTCTTTCTTTCTTTTTAACCTTTATAGAAAACCAAAGTTCTGTTAAGCAGTGAAAGAAGTGGAGATAAACATCAATATCTTTAGACTTGTATGGTCAGGCCCTCACTGTTCTATACCAGCTTTATTAAAGTTAGAAAACCACGTGTTAGCTGGACTTCCATTTCATTATAAGGCCCTCCATTTCATGAGGAGTTTCTTTCAGGTTTTCTTTGGGTTTATAATTAAATATGATTGGAAAGACTTTTCTTAGAGCATGCTAATGTGTGGTACATTCTACACACCAGCAGTTCTTTTATTGTTAAAGAATGTATTTTGAAAGTTTTTTTCAATTTATATGTAAATTGACTTATTGGTGTCTTTCCCTTGACTGGTTGTGACTGCAAATAAATAATTTTAGATTATTTAGGTTTAGGATGAGTTTATAGCTCTGAGATATGGAAAAACTAACTAGACCAGTTTATACTTGTGAAATATGGCAAAACCAACTAGACCAGTTTATGCCTGTGAGATATGGCAAAACCAGCTAGAGAGCATGAGAATTGCATCATTGGCTCTGGCTTCATGAGTATGTGACTGGAACCATCTTTAATGATTTCAGTTGCAGTACAACCTGTGAAGAAGAGTTATGGCCTGAAGGAAGTTTGGAGACTCTCCCACACATTCTAATTGCTCCAGTACATGTGTGGGTGGTAACACCCCCATTTTGAACCTTGTCCTTTACAGAAACTTTCTTGATACAATGCTCAACAAAATGTTCAGCTGCTCTTGGACCACCGACATGCTTTATCTGAATGGAGCTGTATTAAAGGACTCTCTCATTCAAGCTTAGCCTTGGGACCTTGGTTACACTGAAATGAGATTAATGTCTTGAAATGTTACCCAAATCTCTTAGCTAGAGTCTTGAGTATTACAGATTCTGTGGCCCGGTCACCATAACTCCTAATCTTGAAGAGGCTGAGAAAACACAGGTTGGAAGACTAGAGACGAAAAGGTTTTCCAACATTCTCATATGGGTATACGTTAGTCATCAGGGAATCTTGCCGGTCGTATGCTTTTGGGCATGGGTCGTGTCTGTGTAGGTCACTGTTGTGTTACAACACCTAGCGCAGGCCCTAGCCCACTTAGAGATTCATCGAATACTGGCTGAAAGAGTGAATGAAAGAAAATATTTTCGTGACTATTTCAATGGGGCAACCAGGAGTGCTGGTTTAAATGATAGCTGGAAGGGTATATGAGAAAGCTTGCAAAAACTTTATAGAAACTTCCACCCATGTGCTATTTTATTTAATGCTTAAAATGAGCATGTCCATTGGGGGAAAAGAAAAAAACCCAACTATTAGAAATATTTGTTTTGGAATCTCAACTCAGGTTATTAACATGTCCCAAAATATGGCATTTATTTGCTCAAATCCAACTTCTAGTAATAAATATTTGCCAAGGTAGGTATAGCCTAAATATCTAATGGCTGATTTAACAAAATCACTCTCCTAGAATAATCAAGAGTTCTCAAAGAACTCTTGATTATGACTAAGGTAGGCTATTAGGACATGAAACACTTCATATCCTTTTCCAAATCCTTTGACCCCTTAAAGATATATTTTTCATGTATTTCACATATTCACAATTTTTTGGCCTTGCATATTCTGCCCTATTTTGAGCAAAAAACCCCTTCTCCCACCATTTTTTTTTCTTCTTGTGCTGTCATCTTAGGATGTAAAGGGCTTTTCTTTGAATAGAGTAGAAAAAAAGAGATTGTATTTTCAGACTATCCTGGTAAGGTATAATTTTTTAAAAAATTCAAAAATTCTGATAGCATACAGGGCTATATTTAGCAAATATTAATGCATTTAATGTTCATATGAGTTAGGTATGACCATATTCTCATTTTGCGGGGGAAATTGAGGCACAGAGAGGTTAAGTAACTTTTCCAAGTTCACGCAGCTAGGAAACGGAAGAACCAGGATTCAAACACAGACAGCTTGGCTATGGTTCATGCTCTTACACATGTGCTATGTACTGTATTTTCAAGCTTTTCTGGGATTATTGCTCTTATTTGGGTCATCTGAGGTCATTGCCTTCCACCTTGGGCTTGAGGCAGGAAGTTTCATGTTTGAGGATTTATGGATTAGGAGGCTAAAACATCTGTCCAGATTTTCTATTTTTCTAAAAGTGATGAGCTTAAAAACCTGTAATTTGTAAAGGATAACCATTTCCGAATTGGGGAGGGAGCCTTTTCTACTTTTTAAGTGGGAATTTTATGAGAATGAATAAATTTACTGAGAGAAATGTGAAGTTTTGTATCTGAATTCCAATTATGTTATTTTTTCTAATAAAGGTTAACATTCCAAAGGCACAGTTGGCGATGAAGACTTGACTTAGAATGATGATGTTTGCAGGTACCTCCCTCTTTTTTTGCTCTTTCCCTTCACCCGTTCCTGTAGCAAGTGAAAACGCCAGGAAGAAAAATGAGGAAAGAGGTAGTATTAAATCTGGTACAGGTGTTATTTTCATGGGTGTAGGCAAGTTTTAGGTCTCCTATTTTTTACATTCTCTATAAAGCTTAATTACCATTCTTCAGAGATCTACATACAGCAACAGAGCCCCAGATTACTAGGGAAACGTATTGCATTAACTTGTTCAGTGCTCGCTTCAGCAGCACATACACTAATACTTCACTTGTTTTAAGGAGGAGACTGTTATGAAAGAAGAGGAAAAAAAGTGAGAACCCATGAGATCAGAATCTATCTTACCACTCAACTGAATGAAATTTTTGGAGTGAAGTAGAGTTTTCTGATTTTATTTTTATTTTTAATCCTTTTTTAAAAAGATTTATTTATTTATTTGAGAGAGAGAGAGACAGAGCATGAGCAGGAGGGGCAGAGGGAGAGGGAGAGGGCAGAGGGAGAGGGAGTCTCAAGCAGACTCCACACCGAGCGCAGAGCTGACTTGGGCCTCGATTTCACACCCTGAGATCACAACCTGAGCCTAAACCAAGAGTTGGAGGCTTAACTGACTCCATCACCCAGGTGCCCCTTATTTTACTTTTTTATGGTGTATCTTGTTCAACTTTCTTATTGAAAAATAGAAAAAAAAAAGATAACCACCATGAGTTGGTTTCAGCTTCCCTAAGACCAGAACTTAATTTGGCAGCTCTGCAAAATATCCTCCTAAGAAAAATCTACCAATTCTATTTTCAACTAAAATTAGGGAAAGACATCATGAAGTGTTGAAGTAGGGTTTTATGTAATTCAATGTGCAGATTTGAATGCTTTGCAAATTAAGGTAGCAAAAAGTTGAAACCTTTCAAGTCTAGTGGATGGATAAAGTCTTCATCCTTAATATGTAATGAACATACACAAATCATGGAAAATATTTTCTGAATGCCAATTCTTTTGCCACGTGTTAACGAAGACTGTTTCACAGTTCCAAACCAGTCATTGGGGTTAGTTTTGCTTCTTTCTCTTACCTAGTGAAAATATCCTAAGTTTGTATGCAAAATCCCCATATCCTTTTGACTTCAGATGGAGAGTTGACAAATGTTGCAAACAAGCAGTCAAATCCTGTCCATTAAGACTTTTGACAATACTATTTATGTACATATAAACTTCAAGGGTACGTGAAGATGGTTAATTAATCCTTCTGTTATTATCTTTATTATTCCCCTTCACTTTTAAAAAGGAAATTGATAAGGAATAAAAATGACTAGAACCAGCATGATCTCTGACCAAGTTACCTGGATTTCCAATTTGATAATATTCTACTGAAGAATCACTTATAAGGGGGAGTCAAATGCACATGTTAATGGTAGTGTTAAGGAGGAGGTGGTCAGGAGTGGGGGAGATGGGGGTGGGTGGAGTGGAGAAGCAACACAAAAAGAGACCACAGCCTTCTACCATGTGCTGCTCGTGTTTTCAGATTAAGATGGGGGATTAAGGAATTTTACTCAGCAATTTGAGATGCTTTGTTAGGGACTGAGGAGATTTGAGCTGCTTTGTTCTCAAACCACATGTTAGTGAAAAAGCAAACAGGCACTTAATCCTGACAGACAGCAGAACTTGACATCAATTTGCCCCTTGGGAGGTGACCAGGAGTTCTAGTTGACAGGCTAAAATGGCCAGCCCTTGTTTTCCTGGAGCCTAATGCCAACATTCCATCCTAACCTGTATTTCTCAGCAGAGTGGCCATGATGGTTGGACTGACCAAGAGTTTCTAGATATTAGAGACCCTTACATGTTTACTAAAAAAACAAAACAACCTTTTAAATGCAAATAATCTACAAAGGACCAATATTTAAATAGATTTCAAACAGGTCTAATATTTTGGCCACTCGTTTTTGAAAATAAAATGCAGAGAGGCTGAGATTCTTTCCTTTTGAAAATAATGGATGGTTTCCTCTAACAATAAAAATCACAAGGCAACATATCAATTTTGAGCCTATACATGATTGTGAAATAAACATCAATTCTTATGTAGATCTTTGAGGGAAGTTCTACTGAATAACCAATTATATCTTAAGGTCATGTCCTTCAAAGTCACTGAAGTAGGACAAAAGCAAACAAAATGAAAAGGAAAGAAATTAATGGCTTCTTGAATTGGATTTGATACATTAGTAAACTTAAGTGTACACAGTCGTACAGTCTGGCACATAATCTGAAATTGTGGTGTAAAGGCTAATATTGCCATCTTGAGTTTGTGCCACCCTCAATCCACTGACCTAAAATGTACTTTTAGTAGGCTCTTGCTTTATTAAACTTTGGCATATGTAGGGAAACCATTTGAAAATCAGAATTGAAGCAGAAAACTTATAAAGCATATTTCAAAACAAATTTTATTACATTATGAAGATTTTCTGGTTGAATAGTCAGCTAATCAATGGCTCCTGTACTCTGGTGGGGTATAGAAACCTGTTACATCTTAACAATTAAAGAACAAGTTTTGTCACCAAAGCAAGGTGGTTATAGTTTTGTACTATTTACACACATCACTCTGAGTCAGACCACACCTCTGTTCCCACACCTCTTGCCTACTGCTCACCTCCCTATAAACTCAGGAAAACCTACCTCTTCATTAACCAACTACTAACTGCTAAACCTACCTCTACACTAACACTGTAGGTGGATTTTCTCCATTCTGGTATGAATTCAAAAAGTTCTTCTTAAATAACCACAGAATAATTATTCAAAGAATCTTTCTTTTAGGACTGGTGAGACCCTCTCTATGTTTAAATAGCACCAAACTTATATTCAAATGACCATGAACACAGGATGAATGGAACTTTTTGTAGAAGAAAATTAATATTACTTCAGGTGACCAAATCTGGTTGTTTTTGATTTTGAAACTTTAATTTGAAGGAAAAATGTCTTCACATTGGCCACTGGAATAAACCCATAAAGGTGTTTGTGTGCTTCATTGCCAGATCTGAAGAAGAAAGACCATTTCCGCAACTTTGCATGTCCTTCATTATTTATTACAAACACCAGTGTGAGAAAAATCCAAAATTTAAAATACTTCAGAGGGACACACAGTCATTCACTTCATTTAAAACAATATATGCTAGCCTTTAGATGGCCTTTGAGTTGTGTTGTGGTTCTTTGTTTTTAGGAAGGTTTACCGGGCATATTAAAAGGATCAGATGCAGGGTGAGCTAAAATCAGAAACATGGTATTCGTTCATTTAACTCTGGTACAGTAGAGCAAATTCAGGGTGACTCAAGGGACACAATGTCTTGTAAAACATATGTACTTAATATAAGGGTCATAAAACTTATTAAATTAAAAGCTAGGTTAAAAATAGGAAGAAAATTTATGCTGCTGTCTAAAATAGCAATAATTTCCCTTTGGCCTTTCTCTTTCCAAGTAATATGGATTCTGGTCAGGAGGAAAAAAAAAAAGCTAACTTATGAAATCTTCATTTTGTCGGACCAAATGCAAATCTCTTTTAACTGCGGCATGCATCATAATGGACAAGTGATACGGCTGAAAATAGAGGATCAGGAAGAGAAGATGTTAAACCTTGAAAGTACCCTCATGTCTAGGTTTCAAGGTGACCTTGTCCCTGAGCCTGAACGACAAACCCTACTAGTGCTAGCAGGTGTCCAGGAAGAATAGTTTAAGGGTTATGAAGACAATAGAAACACTGCTTTTTCAATAGTTGATCTGGCCATGGGGCAACAGTGAAGGGGCATGGAACATGAACAGTCTCGGGCTGCTTGGTTGGGGTGCAGCAAAGTATCCCCAAACAAAACCTTCCATCTTTGTTCAAGCAAATCCTGGGTTGTACAAAGTCTATGGAGCCCAGAAAACTTGAAGTCAAGTTTGACCTTCTATTTGCACCTCACTCTACTGCTGGTGGGCCACAGTGGGGTGAAAAATGACACATTACCCTGACAAACAACTTCAAGGGTTTGGGATGGAGGGTGGCCTCACCTTTTAAGCACCTGTGTCCCCTTATAATTCACATAGCTAAAATAGATTGACTTTGCTCAAATGTTTATCCTCAACATGATAGCCGTTTTCCTAGTTGGTCCTCCTTGATGTAGCACCTTAGGAATTGGAAACCAACATAAATATCAATTTCCTACTACTGTATTCACACTGGGATTTATTTGGAATTTTATCTTCATACACAAGTCTTAAGGCTGTTGAGAAGGAACCTTGCTTGGTCATGTACCTGTTTGCTCTGAGCCCCATTCCTGCTCTTTTTTTGCTCTTTCATATTCTAGGGGCCTTAGCCCTGCAAAATACATTGCCATCTGCCTCCTACAAAGGTCCTGCCAAGGAAGCCTCTGAGTAGAGAGGAGGGGAGAGGCTTGGATAGTCCCTGCCCTGTCCCTTTGTGCTTTCAAAGTGGTTCTGGCAATAGCTGCATCTCCTCTGAGGTCCCAGAACCTGTCCCCTTTCCTTGGTCCCTTCGATCTAGGGATGGCAGTGGCTTCCTGCGATTGCTAGACTCTTGGCAGGTCTCCATTTGACTTTCTAGTTCTTTCAATACCTTTGTGACTAGTTCGTTAGTGTAAATCCCCCTATTGAACTATCTGGTGGTCACTCTAGCTTCCTGACTAGATCCTGACTAATGTAACAACGGACTGCTTTTTCACTTAGAGGCTATGTTTTCAAAAGGTGATTCTGTTTGAAATCTTTGGGGATGTTTCATTGTCTGCTGACCAGTGGGTAGGCTGCTGAGTCCCAGTGGTCACTTTGGCAATTGGCATCTCATTCCAACAACGTTGGAAGGCAAAATGAGGAAGTAAAAACCTCTAAGGACCTTTATAAGATGGATATTTTAGGGCTACAAGAGAAGGCACATTGAAGGGGACATGTGGACATGTTGTTGACCTTGGCTAACTCCCCTGAGCTGGACAGCACTGAGCATGAACAAGGAGGCTTCCTGTGGCCCT